GGAAAGAGGAAAATATTCACAACAAGGAAAGGAAACGCGTCCGACGAAGAAGGTTGCAATGACCTGTGACCGCGAGGATTGAAGGCATAATTTTGTTGGGAGGACAGACTCAGAAGAATGGAGTTTCTTGCTAACGTATTGGTAAGATTAGATTTTTAATCGTCAGATTTAGTTAAAATTACAGTAGATTAATCCAGCGTATTATTAATATGATTAATTTTTTAATTGTTAAATTTAATTAAAATTGTATAAATTAAGAGTTCATTTAGTATATAAATTTAATAGAATTTTTTATTATGACTTATGAAATTCAAATCTTTTGTAAGACTAAAATACTGTAGTAAACTTAAACAGAATTCATATACCAAACATTACTTAAAAAAATTATGAACAAATAATTTTTATTACTTATCTAATAGGCAAAAAGCAAAAAACTATTGATAGTTTACTTTTATTAGTCATATTCGAAAATCTCATAGAAATGAAGAGACAACTTGCCTTTCTTAAATAAAAAAGGAAAATTTTCATTTTAATACACTCCGTTATATTAAAATTTGAGTTTGACACTTTTTATTTTTAAAAATTTTATGTCGGTGTTTCGATCTTTTAAAAAATCATTTTTTGGTATCTTAGAGTAATTTTTTGAGACACGAAAAGACAAAATTATTCTTATTGTAAAAATTCATCTGTGAACTAAAAATTTTGAAAAAAAAGGATTTTAAAAATTATTACACCAGTAGAGTATAATTCTTTTTTAAAAATTTATCTCTTCAAAATCCTTTTTTAAAATTCTTTTTATTTTTCAAAATTTTAGTTAACAGATGAATTTTTACAATAAGGAAAAATTTATCTTTTTATATCTCAAAAAATAATTCTAAGGTACTAAAAATATATTTTTTAAAATGTCGAGCTACTGGTATTAAATTTTTAAAAATAGAGATACTAAACTCAAATTTTAATATAATAGAGATTATTAAAATGAAATTTTCATAAAAAAAATATTGTATATAATTTAATCAGAAAAAAGTCATTTTACTATATAACTTTTTATTGAGAGAGCCTAATTATAACTATTAATTTTTAAATTTAACGATTGAAAATTAAAAATTTATCGATAGTTTAACTCGCACTTTGAAAAATAGAGTCAAACAATTACAAACGAAAAAACAAAAATAAAAAAGGAAAGGAAAGGAAAAAAGTAAAAAAGGAAAAAAGTAAAAAAAAAAAAAAAAAAAGAAAGAAGAATGGTAACTTGCTCTTGAAAGAAATTATAATAAAAGGAATTTGGCCGGACAGAAAAAGAACGATAGGTCGTAGGTGTGGTATCACATGTCATCAAAAAGAATAACTAGCAAAAAAACATGTCATGAAAAAGAATAACTAGCAAACGAACATGTCATCAAAAAGAAAAAATCGAAATTCCTTTTCTGGAGTTGTGTCACACGGTGACGAAAAGTAATTTCGTTCAAAAGTAAAAAAGAACAATAATATCTTTTCTCTTCCAAAAATAGTCAAATATATAAGCTTGTTTTTTTACCATTTTTGAGTTAAGTGATTTGAGTGTAGATTTTAAATTGAGTTTGAATTATAACTTAGTTGAAGTTATAACTTGAGTTTGTGTTTAGTTGTGCACATTTAAGTTATAGTTTGAGATAAGAATCTTTTTGAGTTTGTGTTTGAGTGAGTAAAAACTTGAATTTGTATTTAGATAGTATTTTAATAAAAACTCAATGCTGATGAAAAATTTTAATAGGGTATATGGGTGGGGTTTTATTCATCTTTTCGTTGTCGACGTATAGAAAAAAATCATCTCAATCAGAATTAAAACGAAAAAGTTATAGCATTTTTAAGAATAGAAAAAATATTGTTCATTAATTTGAGTTTGAGTTTCTGAACTCAAGTTGAAGGGGAAACTTGAACTCGAGTTTTAGTCTCAAACTCAAGTTCAAACTTGAGTTCAAACTTAAAAGAACATGAACTTGAATAAAGTTGTAACTTGAGTTACTTTTTTTGAGTTTTTGATTCAAAAACTCAACTGCCAAACAGCCCCTATATCTCCATGGAAGACTATTCTATACGTGAATGTTTGCGTCATTTAATGGTTTTTTTTCTTTTTAAGAAATTGTAAAGGCCCGTTTAATTTGCTGATTTGAGTTGAGATATAACTTTATGTGAGAGCTTTTTACTGTAGTAAAAAAGTTAGATATGACTGTTTTTTAGAGCTTTTTATTGTAAAAAAATTTGAATTCTAAACTTAAATTAGTGAAATGAACGGGACCTAACTATATACACTTGGTTGTATCTGCGTAGAAATATTTTTGAAAGATGGAATTATAATTTAACACTTACGAAAAATATTATAATTTAACAAGTACATCTTGCATGGATCGGGGTAAGGGTTAATAGTAAAATTCGGTTTAAAATCAATGTCAGGTCATATTAAAAGAATTAGAGATAACATTGCATGGGTTCAAGATAGTAATTAAATAATACAATATTGGTTTAGGTTTTTACAAGCATGTAATCAAAATTCTAGAGCATTAGTCTTTAAATATGTCCGTAAGATGGAACTCTACTTATATAATGCTTGAACAATGCATCCCCTATAAATATGTTATAACAAACTATGTTAGTGTAAAATTAGGACCAGGATTTATAGACCAAATTGATTGGTAAATTGCCAAACTTTTGTATAACTTTTTAGGTAGATTTCATGAAGTTACTTTAAAACTCAGTGGAACATATTACCCAATGTCACCATTAGCGTTAGGAGAACTTTTAAGAATGACTATTTTATTTAGTGAATTTAGGACACACGAGGTTTTAGGAGTTCCTATCTCTTATATGGAAAAGAAGTTTAAAAAATATTGGTCCAAATTACTAATGTTGTATGGTTTCGGTGTTATTTTTTTATCTTAGATTAAAATTAGATGGGTTAGAAAGTGGATTAGACAACTTAGGTGACTTTTTAGATATCTTCTGACCAATTTCCTATTATAAAAGAAAAAATATTATCTCTCTATAGCTCTTATGAAAGTAGGTTTAGAAACACACCTCGTATAGAACAACCGCAACAATAAGACGACAATCTGCATTCATTCTTGAATATTTTCGGGTTAAAGAAGAAGAAGAAGACAACGATGACGACTCAAGGTCAAGAAGAATCTAATAGTGGATCTTCATTAAGAGGTGGCGGCAACAGCGTTGGCTTCAATGAGTTAATGGCGTACCTGAGTGATGGCTTAGTTGTCAACAATAGTGAAATATTTGATTTGGTTCAGTGGTGGAGAGCACGAGCATTAACTTGGCCAATCCTAACTCGACTGACAATGGATATTTTTTCGATTCTAGTCTCCACTGTTTCATCCGAACAAGTCTTCAGTACGACCGGACGAATACTTAAAGAACGTAGAAACGCATTGCAACAAGACATTGTTGAAGCTTTGGTGTGCATTAAGGATTGGGATCGTTCCGACCAATGCTTGTACGATACAATTTCATCGGCAAGCCAAGAATGGATTGATGAATTTAATAGATTAACTTTTAATTTTCAAGACGATCATTCAGTTTCAAATTAAATTATATTATTGTAATTTATAAATATTTATTTACTTTGTACAGTGTTATTGTAATCTTGTATAGACTTTGTAAGTTCATTAAATTTGTATTTCGTCGTACAATGATTGCACTCTTTTTTTCTTACCAAGTTTTTATCACAATTGGGTTTTTCTTGCTAAGATTTTTAACGAGGCAATCATGAATTACAAATTTAAAAATTAATAAATAAATAATTTTTTTATATAGTTCGTGTTCATTTCAAATTTTAAATTGCAATATCCCTTATAATTTTTGTATAATTTTTACAATAAATAACTTAAAAATCATTTATATACATACCATATACAATTAATAAATAAAATTATATATAATATATATAAATATATAAAAAATATATTTAAAAAAAATCAGGCAACTCGGGCGGGCTCGGGCTGCCCAAAGCCCGTCCATGATGTTTCTCGGGTCGGGTCGGGCAGCCTGAAAATTCAGGCTCGGGCGGGCTTGGTCATCGGGTAAAAATTCAAAATTTTCAGTGGTCTCTGGGCCTGTCCAAAGTTTTAACACTAATGAGGATGGTTATTGTCTCCCGAATTGAAAGCATGTTTTAAAAAATATTTTTAATACAAATATATATTATGTATTATAATAGTACTTAGAAAAGAAAGAGTTTTTTGGTAGTCTATTCTACTGATAGTTTCAGTTTTTAACTATTAGATATGATTAAAATGACATCAAATTAAAAAATATTTTGAATATACAGATTCTAATACAAATTTAGCGGCTGAAAAATAAGAGACTATCAATAATTTATTTTTACATGAACTATTAGAGAAAGTCCCTAAAAAATATGGGTTTTAAAAAAATTTAAAAGTATCTTTATACTATTTTACCATCTTGAAAAATAGTGTATTCTTTCATGCTTATTTCTTATTTATTAATGAATTAAACTGAATTGAAATATTATTTCCTGTCATTTCTTGTTGCGTGTTTCAAATTTTGTGAATTATGATGCCTAAGAAGAATAAGTAAGCAATGAAGCTGGAGTGGAGGAGATAAACAAATTAGAAGAATAATGTCCTTATTCTTTTTAAAGTTTTACTTTGAAGACTTTCATTTATTATTTAGGTCTTTGATTGAATTTTCATATGGTATTGAGATTTAATTAGCACTTATTAGAGTTTGGATTTTCTTTTGAAACCTTAGTTTGTTTTCATGAGATATCAATGTTATATTGATCAATTATTTATTTAATTTGATGTAATTTATTTAAGTGTTAATAATATCATATTTTTTTCTTATTATCTAAATGGGTAAAATATAGAGAAAGCCTCCTGATGGAGATTCTCCAACCCCAATACTAAATATGCGGGTATGAGGGGTAAAAAGTGAAAGCAGAGGTGGGATG